GGAGCACGTCCTGTCTGAGCGGAATCATAGGGAGCAGTGGGAGGAAAGTCAGACCACTGGCTGCCCAGCTGATCTTTACGCCAGAGACACTGGCAACCACAGGCCCTCAGCGCGGCAGACACGGGGCTTACCAACCAGCGCGGCAGCAGCTAGTCCGTGGCTGGAGGGGGACAGAGTGTGCACTGGGAGGACTCGCCAGGCGTGGGCTGGGGGTGAGGACGGGGGCTTGCTTCTTCTCTCTGGGCCTTAGTTCTTTATCCTTATGGCTTCTTGAAGACAATATTGGAAAGCAAATGGAAAGGGCATGGTACATGGTGGCAGGAGATAAAATTACAACCATTATCAAGTTTAATAGAAAAAGGCCAATATGTCTGATTGCCTATAAAATATGCACTTAGAAATAATCCCTATTCGGCTAAGAGAGCTTTTCAAAGGCTGCGTCCAGTAAACTCACAACACTGAGGATGGCCTCACTGAGGCCCAGTCTGGAGCAATTAGAGACTGAGTGAAGGAGGTGCAGCCTCTGGCTCTGAACTAAGCCTCAATCACAAACACCTCAAACCATGCCCACCCCATCCCCCTTCCCCAACGCCTCTGTGAAGTGAAACCTGACCCCCACCTGGCTGTGAGGACCTCCACCTCCATCTGCCCAGCACTTCTGTAATGGAAAGGGCTGCAGAACCCGTGAATGAGAGATGGCCAGCCGGGCAGGACACAAGGCAGAGCACTTCAGTTCCTTATGGCCGGTGCTCTGGTCTGTTCAAGAAGTTTTTTCCATTTACTTCACAAACAGTCAGCCTGTGTGGTCAGATGCCAGAGTAGGCACATCCCAACTGAGAATACAAAGAATGGTTCAAAACATACCCATGTGTGGATGCTGTCGGGGTGGTGGGCAGCAAAGAAAACAGAAACAGGATGGAAATGAAGGACTTTCTAATTAGAATATTTTTCAAGTGTTTCATCTGGTTCTTCCATAAATAATCACCTCAAGGGGAACTATCTGGCACAGGGTCACCTCCTGAAAAAATAAGCTGGGCTTTCTTTTTTGGAAGAGGCAAAAGATGGCCACAGGGTAGTTAGTTAGGAGAACATAGGAGAGTACTGTGTACTCCTGGTACTTGGAGACAGTGTAAGAAAAGTTTTCTTTTTTTTTATTCTTTTTTTTTACCTCTCCAAATATCAAGTCCTTGCCTATAAAACAGAAGATAAACTTGTCCCTAAATACATACATTGGGAAGCAGTGCAGCGTCATGTCAAGAGCATAGACTTTGGAGATCGAAAGATCTGGATCTGTACCCACTTAATTGCTATGTTGCTTTGGGAAAATAGCTTAACTTATGCAGACTTCAGTGTCCATGTCTTTGAGACAGAGGATCTAATATTTACCTCGTTCTGACGATTAGAAGTAATATACAAAAAATGGCCATGGTAGTGTCAGGCATATACAAGACATTTGGCAGCTCTTCATTATCATCGGTATCAAGCTCACTATTATACAAATCTTCTTATAATAATGGAGGAAAGTGTGCTACTACTGTGAAGGTGTATTTCCCAACCAGTAAATAGAATAGCCTGGACAACCCCGAAGCGTTATTTGATACGTCATGGGTAGCAATGCTCAGATTGGGGAGAGTCAATAGAATATTGACATTTTGGACTGAATGTTTGGTTCCCCCCAAATTCATATATTTAAACTAGTCCCAGCCTGATGGTATTTGGAGGTGGGACCTTTGAAAGGTAATCTGGTCATGGGAGTGAGCGCCTTTGGTAGAATCAGTGTCCTTACAAGAAGAGGCCAGAGGAGAGTTCACTCTCTCTCTGCCATGTGAGGACACAGAAAGAAGTCAGCACTGCGCAACCAGAAGGACAGCTCTCATGAGACGCCAACTCGGCCAGCACCTTGTACTTGCATTTCCCGCCTCCAGAACTGTGAGAAATGTTTCTGTTGTTGATAAGCCACTCAGTTTATGGACTTTTATGATAGCAGCCCAAACTAAGACAGAAATTGCTACCAAGAAATGGAGTGCTGCTATAACAAACACCTAAAAATGTGGAAGCAGCTTTGAAAGTGGGTAATGGGTAGAAGCTGGAAGACTTCTAAGTACATGCTAGAAGAAGTTGAGATGATCATAACTGGACTTTTAAATGCAATTCTGGTGAGAGCTCAGAAAGGAAAGGAGAGAAAGTTTCCATCTTAGAGAATACACAAATAATCATGTACAGGATGTTGGTAAAAATATGGACAGTAAAGGCCATTCTGATGATGTCTCAGGTGGAAATGGGAATGTGTTAGTGGACCATGGAGAAAAAGAAATCCTTGTTATAAAGTGGCAAAGAACTTGGCTGAATCATGTTCATGTCCTAGCATTTTGTGGAAGGTAGAAGTGGGTCAGTGATGAAACCGAATATTTAGCTGAGAAAATGTTTAGTGGTGTTGAAGGAGTGGCTGAGTAGCTTCAGACTTCATATAGTAAAATATGAGAAGAGATAAATGGTTTTAAAATGCAGTTATTCAACAAAAGGAGATAGAATCAAAACATTTGGAAAATGCTCCTATTGTAGAAATGAGAACACATGCTTGGAAGAGAGCCCTTAGGGTGTAGGCAAGGGACCGTTTGATAAGGAGATTAGTATCGGTGTGAACCACCATATAAGAAACATCATAAATATTTTACTTTTGAAGATCAAGCTAAGATGAGAGTAGAGGAGAGAGGGCAATTTAGCAAACATTTACTTACTTGTGGGTGAGTCTGCAATAGAAAGGTTTTATAGCCCGTATCACAATGAGTCATTACAGGGCTATTTGCTTGCTTAATTGTTTGAAATCCTGTTTCCCTGACACAAAGGCAGGCACTTTGTGTTTTTGTTGTCCACTCTATACTCAGTCCCTAGCATGGAGCTAAGCAAACAGTAATTGCTCAATAATCATCTATTAAATGAAAAAATGGTGTATAAATGGCTAGGTTCTTGCCTTTAATAAGCTTGTAATTTAATGTGTAAGACAGAAAACATATAGCTTTAATACAAGATAGAATGCAATAAATGCTGAATAGAGGGTACAAGGAGAGAGAAATTCTGATGGATCTGTCAGGGAAGACTCATGGAAGGAATGTCATATGCGGCGAGCTTTACAGGTCAGCCTTTCAGCAGGCAAACATCAGGGAGTAGCGCATCCAAGGCTGAGGAAACTAGAGGAAAGGCAGAGCAATGGGAAACACACAGCGAGTTCAGGGCATGGCGGGTGGCTTAGAGCGATGGAGCACCCGCAGAGAGCACGGGGGGCTTGGAGGGGACACGAGGCTGGAGGGGGTCATTCCAGATCACAGAGGGCCTTTAAAACCAAGGTACAGCATGGGGCAGGGAGCGGGGAGGGTGTCCTGTAAGGCTTCGCAGGAGGATGTGACTTCGAGTCTGTGAAAGACAGTTCGCTAGTGTATTCAGTTCAGCCCTTCATCCCAACAAATCTTACTTGGGCATCTGGCCAAAGCTACTTTTCCGCACTGCTGGGCATGAGGGAAGTGCATTAAAGGTGGCTGCGACCCCGCCATGTGCCAACACCTCCTAAACAGCATTTCCTCAGTCCCTGGAGCAGCCTCCAGCTCCCCCATTTTTAGCTAAGTAACCAGAGGCTATGAAGGTAAAGCGACCGAGCAGCAGCCTTAGTAAGTGGTGGACTTACTAAGTGGCCAGACTTCAAAGCCATTCTCCGCAGCGCTCCAGCTGTCCCTGTCAGGAAGCTGCCCGTGAAACACAATGTATCCTTTCTGCTGGAAAAGGATGGAGCCCGCATGGAGCGCTGAGGCTCATAGGCACGAAGCCGTGCCCAGGCGGCCTGCTGCAGACAGACAAGGGCTTGCCGATCCTTCACCTTTGCCTGGCAGGCCCGACGGCGACAACATCGCCTGGAGACGAGTGGAGGTGCTGCTCACACACGCTCTGTGCCTTTCAGAAGGGAATCTTGCAATAGTAGAAAACAGGCCTTATTTATCTTGAAATGCCACATGAAGTCAAAGAAGAGTGAGGGGCAGAGGGCAGAAAGCAACACTTAAAAGTACAACTGTTTGAAAACAGAATGCTCTTCATTAGGTCTGTGCAGCTGTTTAAATAATGGAAAATGACTTTATTGCATTTAACACACTTATGCATCAGAACCTCTTTCTCAGTTCAGCAGCACTGATCTCCCCCTCATAGTCAGGATGGTCTTATAAGTGGGAGAGGAAAAGCTTCGTTCATAGGAGGCAACTTGAAACAGGCCAGGGAGGCCTACTTGCCTAAAAGCTATGCTTATCGGAATGACAAAGACCCTGACGTCCTACCCTTATAGATTAATATCTCTGGGTTAATCATTGCCCTGGGCATGAGGATGGATTCTCTTTTAAGAATACTAATGACCCTGGGAGGAGCAAACCCAACACACCACTAAGATCTTGGTGCCAGTGGTTTTCTTAGGCTGCTTCCTTATAGATGGTCCAGGTTCATTGGCTCCCGGAGACGGGGGAGGGGTGGTAGGAGGAAAGAATGGGTTGTGAGCAGGGTGCGGACAAACCTACCAGCGCTCACCCTCCCAAGTGAACACCACACAAGCCAAGGGCGTGGGGCAGTTAATGAAGGTCAAGTCCTGAAACTACGCAGGTTTATCGGGTTCAGTGTTTACAACTGTAGCTGGAGAATTTTTTCCTAGTCTTTTCTACTTTTAAATTATGGTAAGTGATGTAAAAGTTTTTTAAAGGTATGTTTTATTCTTTCTATCTTCTGCTATTACAAATATTCTCTTCTAAAGGAAATGTATACTAGCATGTGTTACACACGTGACTGTGCTTTTTATTTGTTTTGCATTTGGCAATAGAAAAAGAGAACAGTTAATACTAAGAAAAAAGAAAAAATCCAGCCAAGCAGAACACTGGGAAGAGCAGCAGCTGTAAGGAGAGACGTGTGCACCGCGTACAAATCAGCTTTCCTCCACCCCAGACTCTTCCTCCTTCTCGGTCACCAGAGGCCCATCTGAGAGGCAGGCACCTTGGTGCTGGCAGTGACCATGTTCGAGAGAGACTGGAAGGAGAGTAGTTAGGTGATTTGTTTGAGAGGAAACTCCTCAAATGCTTTGAGTCTTTCTATTCAAGGTGAGTCACACACCCACTACGTGGGCAGGCCTGGGCTTTGAAGTGAGAGCGCCCTGCCTCTACCATCTCTGGACCTGGTGGGTGATCTTGGACAAGTCGGCTGGACTTTCTGATCCTCATTCTCTCACCTGCAAAATGATGATAATATAATGCCTCCTTTGCAGAATGGAAGCAAGAACTCAGTGGAATAATATTTCAAAAAGCAACTTATAGAATGGATATTGCTGTGCACAGGTGAGTTATTTTTTTGAAAAGATGGTTCCACGCAAGGTTATAAAATATCCCTGACAAACATGTCCTCCCAGATGATTCTAACACAAATCTTAAGAGATGAATAAGAATTAGCCAGTCAAAGAGGAGGGAGAGCCCTTGAGAGCAAAGAGAGCACTTGTGTTCAGTGAGCAGGAGGCACGCAGTTGGCAGGACAGGCCGGGGCCTGCAGCGGGTGGCGGGGCAGAGGTGGGCAGATACAGGCCCGGTGGCTGGGCTCGGCAGCATGAAACAGGAAGGTGGAGGCAGGTGGGGGCAGGCGCTCCATCCTGCAGGGCATCACATGCCTTGTTAGGAAGCTTGGATTTTATACCTTAGAACAAAGTTGTATCTACTGTGTTCAGTGAAATTTCAACAAGCGTGTTTTGTAAAGTTTCTATAGCCAAACAAGTTCAAGATTAAATAGTTAATCCTATTTCTTTGCTGCAGGACTTCTCAGAGGCTTTAATATGCTAATATGTGTCATGAATTTTCAACAAGGGAATGTACTCTGCAGCGCGTCTTCACATTTGACCTTTTTCTGACCCCCCCCCCCCCCCACACACACACTCTCTTACACTCTCACCTTCCATTTTGTAGCTCTGCCCTCAAGAAATGCTAGAACCCACTGTAAGGAGCCTTGTCAGGCTCAGAACACGCCTACGCTTGTCAGTGTTACCGTGGCTTTGCCAGCGTTTCCTGATCTCTGTCTGCTCCCCCAGACACCCCTCCAAACCTCCTCTTCATAGGAGCCCCTGCTTCTCCCCCAGGGGGTGAGCTCCCTTCTTACTCCACAGAAAGGATGAAGTCCAAGCTAGAGACCGGCTGTCCTCTCTACCCTTTTACCACGTCCACATCCACAGACTGTCCTAGCTACCCCCGGAGATGTCGCTCCCCCTTCCGAATGAGGACAGAGCAGGAAAGAATTGTCAGAGAAGGGAGGCTGCTCTTTGGGATCAGGGAGTTAGTCAGAGGCGGGGACCTGGTTAGAAGTCCCCTGATGCCCCGGTGAGGGCCCTTTCCCCAGGCCATGCTGCCATCTAAATGCCTCCTAGGAGGTAGTCCTAGTCCGCGAGGCCCACAAAGGACAGACACATGCCATAATACATTGCTTATGCTGGCATAAAATTACCCATTCACATGGTGAATATGTATTGGTAGTATCCTGTCAAGTTTCATTTACTAGAACTATTTTGTTTCTTTCCTTTTCTTTTAAAAAATTTTTTATTTCCAATGTATTTTTTAAATGTAAGCTAAAGCATAGGGAATGTTGTTAACAACATGCACAGTGCCAGGTAGGCCCTTGAATTATTGGAGGGAACACTTTATAACCTATATGAATGTCTATCCGCTGTGCTGTATACTTGAAACTAATAAAAAGTAGTGTTAAAGGCAAAATGTAATCAAAACGGAACACCGATATTTAAATTTACTTGTACACTATAGTTGGCATACAATATTACACTAGTTTCAGTTGTACAACATAGTGATTAGATATTTATACACCTTACAAAGTCATCACCACAATAAGCCCAGCACCCACCTGATGCCACGCATAGTCATTACAATATTATTGACTGTGTTCCCTAGACTGTACTTTACATCCTTGTGACTTATTTTATAACTGGCAGTTTGTATCTGTTTCCTTCCTTTTTCACTGCATGTTTCTTCAAGATAAACCATTCTAGTCCTAAAACTACCCAGGGATTAATGTAATGCTTTCTGTCCTAACAGTCAAAGCTAAAACTAATTTATTCAGCTGCCTTTCAGAGGAGCTCCACCTTCTTCCCTAGCATTTCCTCTGGGTGCCCCCCGGGCTGAGGATGCTCCAGCAGGTGACCACAGCGGAGGGCCCACACCACAGAGCCCACACAGGGGACCGCTTGAGCCGGACCCTCACTTCGGCAGGGAACAAACCCTCCTTCCATCATCTTAGCCCCTCCTGTGTCACCACCACAGAAACAAGCACATCCAGGGTGGTGGCTCCACGTAAACAGTTTGGATTTAGAGACAACCTATGAAATAAATAGGCAGTGAAAGCCCTTTGCCAAAAGCTGGCCACTTGGCTTCAGTTCAACACCTCCCTTTCTACATCGTCCACTTCGCTTGTTATTTACAGTAGAGCTGTTCTTGACCTCTTTCTTTTTCCAGGTACGTTGGATAGAATTAGTTTTGTTTATTTGTTTCTAAATACATCTTTAAAATCTCGATGACTATTTTGGATGTTTTCAAAACTCACAGCTACTTGAATCACTTTTTCCAGGCACCATTTCAATCCAGATACTGTAACGGGACAGGGCCTACCACTTCAGAGCTGGCACACACGTGTCTTAAAGAAGAGTTCCTGTTCTCCGAGTTTAAGGCCATCTGATTTGGAAAGAGTGAGAGGTCGCCTGTGTTTAAAAATAGTCAGCTAACTATGGGAGGCTTTTTCTAATTACCGTGGAAAGATACTTCCGGGTTCGATTAGCCCCCACACCTCAAGCTATAAATATTTTACAGCTTGTGGGCATAAATATATTCTGTGATAATCTGGGACATTCATTCCAAAACCATTTGATCAAGTCAAGTATTGTGGATTCTTAATGAAGAATATAATTATTATATGTAACTTAGTGCAAGAATAACATTTATACAGTTCATTTACCTTTTCAAAGAATATATATGAGGGCACATCTGTTGAATCATTTTGTCATCCCAGAAGCATTGCCTCCGATTTCTTTCTAACTTAATCTGCCCTTCATACTGCTTTTAGGATATTTGCCCACAACACACTCACGCAGCAGTGACAGGTAAAGGAATTTATGGCATTTGTAAAAATAATTAGAATGTTGGGGTAAGGACTAAACAGGGAGGCATTATGAGGATATTGATGGATAGTGAGAAAGTGCGAGGACCCATGAAGTGGAAGCCATGAGGAGATTGAAGGACTTCTCTAGCAGAAATAGTTGAACAATTGAACCAGAAGGATATGGGTAGTCTGGGAGCGCGGCATTGGCATTTAAGATTTTAGAGGTGGCACAGCTGCCCAGGGTGCAACCACTGGAGCGGATGATTGAAGTAGAAAGGAGGGACAGACCGTTGAGATAAGGAGGTGAAGAAACTACGATGCCAGAGAATTAAAATGGTCCTTCCTGGGAATGTAGCAGTTACAAAGAGTGACAGAGTCTGGAGTGCAGGGGAGGCCTGGGAGCCAGTGAACGAGGAGGAGTGCCTGGGAAATGACAGAAACAAGGAAGGTCGTGTGTCCAAACCGCACGAGTGTCAAAGGGCAGAGGTTTTGCAGGAAAAGGGGAAACAATGGTCTGAAGGTGGCCGGGGGAAGCAAGGAGGACACCCACCTTACCTCTGGGCCCCCGGTCACATGGAGCACAGAAGGAAAACAGCCTTTGATGGCCGTGTGTAAAGGGTCCTCAGAGAACCTCCGTACTTCAGAGGAGGGATCGTGACATGGAAGAGCTTCAGGAGGCGACAGCAGGTGGACTGGTGAAAGCAGGGCTTGTAGGAGGAGGGAGGATGAGAGCTCAGGTGATGGCGGAGGCTGGGCATGCCGGGGCCTCCGGAGGGAATTGGAAATGAATGGAATGCCTTAATACATTTTTTTCCCCTCTCAGCCAAAAACCTTTTAATATGTGTATCCTTGAGGGAGGGTGAGGTATCTTAAAGGGAGGACCCCACGCTTCCTTTCCAGGAAGAGAAACAAGTTTTGTGTTGCCCAGGGTTGGGGATGGCGTATGATGGACCGCGGAGCCCCTGCCTAGGAAGAGTAGAGAATGAGACTTTGGTGAAGGAGGGCAAAGAAGGGTGTGGTGGGAATCGGGGAGGGAGCCTGGGAAGAAAAGGACAAGGTGGTATCCCCGCCAGGCTCAGATCCCTGTGTCCACCCTGAGGACCGTGGGACCCTCCTGTAAGAGAGTGCTAGGTTGCCAGCAACAGGGCCGGGACCGTACAGGACCGGATGCAACCATTGGGGCATCAGCTCATCTGTACCAGAGCCCTCACCTGTTCACTGCCCAGGTAGCTATAGTTGCAGGCACAGCCCCTAGTAAGGGACCTTGCGCATGTGTGGTAGGTGCTCAGTATCTGCTTGCTGAGTCAATAAAACACCCTGTGAGGTAGGTGGAATAAGTATCATCTTCTGTTCTTTCCTCTGGGCGATTCTAGGGCATACCAAGGTGAGGATGCTATCCGTACGCTTACTTAAACAGTAAGTGACAGAGAGGGAGCAAGAATCCAGGTTCCTGGTGGACTGGCATCATCACTTCTTTGTTTAAGCTCAGCCATACATCCTCCCTGAAGAAGCGGAATGGGGTATGCCAGCAGAGAAAGGCAGAATTTTATGATTCTGTATCAAAATTATCCTTTTTGTAAAGAGTCAATTTTCTGTAAACCTTATCCCTTTTGTCTGTGTAAACAAAAGGTCACCTTAAAGATAATTTCCTGATACAAACCCTACAACAACAACGGTATAAAAACTGGAGTGGACAGCACCTAGGAGATGCTGTGCAAAATTAAGGTAGTTGTAGAATTAGGTTGGGATTATAAGTAATGCACCCTGACTTTTCTTCAATGTTTAATTTACTATTTTTATTTTGTATTTTCAATAAAGATGCTCAAGAAAATCTCAACTTTATAATAAGGCAAGAACTGATAGCATTTATTGAATTGCTGTTGAAAAGAGTCAGAGATGAAAAATATTTCTTATCTCTTCTCCTAGAAGACAGGAAGAATGTTCTTCAGGTCAGAGCAGCAAAAGGCCACTTGGGTGTAAGCCGGGGACTCTGAGGGTTGAACACCACAGTGGTAGGTGCCTTTTGTGACTTTGTTCCTGGAAATGCAATTGAGTAGGAAGCAGAAGAAAGTAAGGAGCTGGGATGGGGAAAATGGGAGGGTGGCCAAGTTGCATATTTTAGCTTCACATCACTATCTTTGAACACTACACAGTGCCCTGGCGCCCTGCCCAACCTGCATCAGCTGTCGCCCTGGCATCTCCAGCTGACAGTTCCCGGGCGAATTCTGATTAAGGCAGATGATATCTCAGGACATTCAGTTCCACGAGTAGAGGGACCCAAATGAGACTCAGTGGCCTTGGCTGTAAGGCCTTGGGGCCCAAGGCATCCTTGTGCCCCACAAGTCAGTGTCTTCCCCTGAGTCCTGAATGGAGGAAAGGGTTAGTAAAAGTTATGCCTTACCAAATTAAGTCCTGCTTGTAGAAGGTGGAACGGTGGTCACCTCTGGGGCATGTGGGTAAGTGCCTGGAAGGGAGCAAGGAGGAATTTCTGGGTCCAGTCAGGTTCTCTTTCTTAATCTGGGTATTTATTTCCTGAGTGTGTGCGGTTTGCGAAAATCCACTGAGGTATTGTACGCTATGCACTCTTCTGTATGTGTATTATAATTCAATAAAAAGTCGAAAGGAAAGAAGAAAATGAAGGGAGGGAAGGTGAAGAACATGAAGGGAGGGAAGAAAGGAAGGGAGGAAGGAAAGGGAAGCTGGTGAAGCCACACCGAGGAGCTTGAGCGCGGTGCGGTACGCAGTTGTGAGCCCCTCTCAGTGGGTCAGGCGTGGCGGGGCGTGACAGGGGCATCATCATAGGAAGATTGGTTTGACTGTGCAGAGCAGTTGAAAAGGGATTAGGCTAAGGCAAAAAAATGTTTAAAAAGCTACAGTAACTTCAGATGGGAGGGTGAAGGCTTAGATTAGATTGCTGTCAACAGTGATGATGCCTAAGGGGGTAGCAGGCCGGTTTCAAGGAGCCAGTTGTAAGGTGAGCTATTACATAAATGAACCAATAGGCAGCACATGCTGCAGGTTGCTTTCCGATATTGCAGAACATTAAAACTCGCTTTATTTAGTAATTGTGATTCTTACAAGGCCCAAGACAGCTAGCTCACCTAGGTGTGCTCAGTTCCACAGCTGAGCTCCAGAGCGCTGGGCCTGGCTAGCCTCTATTCCCAGGTACGTGCCATTTGTCAGGAGGTACTGGCTGAGGACCTACTAGGGACGCTAGCACAGACCAATTATGTGATAAACAGCGTAGACCTTGGTTTTTTTTGTTTTGTTTTGTTTGGGTTTGTTTTTAAATACATGATGACAGATAAAACTACTACTTTTTTAGGACCTATTCAAAAGATTAATTTAATAGCTGAATATTTGAAATTAAAAAGAATGTTGCCTTCCAAAGTACAATATATAATGAAAATTTTAAAGATTACTTGAACAAATCAAGTCTTGTTCTTCAGAGAAATAATATGAACATGTTAGCACAGGGTCCTTAGCAGAATTTAGATTTATGCAAATCTTCAATTTTCCATAATCCAAAATTAACAAACTCAGAATGACAGAAATTTGTTGAAAAGTAATGCAAACTAAACATTTTCGTACATCTTTCTAGAATTTAACAGAATGTTGACATCTAATTTCACATTATGCATCTCATTTAATTTCTGCATTATGAACCAACAGGCAGAAATAGATGAAATGCTGACACATTGGCTTTTTCCAAGCACCAGAAGAAAAACAAAGGTTCCCAGTGAGAGATGAGGGAGGAGTTCATTTGGTTCATTAGTTTGCCTAAATCCATAATTATGTACGCAACTTATTTATATGTACTGTGCTAACTGAATTATTATTATTTAGCTTTGCTGTGGTGCCAGTCATTGAAACATACTCTAATTTTATTAAGTTCCTCAAAGTCTTGGAGAGTCTTAGTTATAAGCTGGTTCTCTCCTCATTAGCATTGACATTTATGGTTTGTTTATGTGGATTTTTTTGGCCTCCTGCCCCCAAGTTAACACCCCTTTGTTTCATAATCCATACTGTCATTGTGCCCTCTTGACCCAGAAGAGAGGCAAATGAATGAAAGTATTGATGCCAACTTTACAGCTTCTGTGAACAGGCAAGAGGCTGGGACGCTTAGTCAGTTGGCGCTGGCTTCTTTGGAAACAAAGAAGGAAAGGGAAGAACTGAACAAGTATTCAAGGCCTTCATGGACTCATCATTAAGCGCTGTCGTATGTTATGTGATTAAACAGTACATGGCACACAGGGTTCAAATTTTGACTTCTACCAACAAAGAATGACATGCAATTCTTAGCATGAACCCAGTGTATTTCATTAATTTACTGGGGACTGCTAGAAATTACTTTCCCTAGTTGATGGTCTTCATAATACATAGTAGAATAAATGTGAAAGGAAACTCAAAGGACGAGCCATTATGTTCCCCCAGAAGAATCACAAATTGCCGAGGCTTAGAGCGCCAGCCCAGCTTTCCCCACTTCCCATTCGCTGTGCTGTCCCAGCACAGGCCCTAATGGTCCTCTGAGCCTGCTGCGCCCTTGAAATGTGGCTATCGTGCGAATCGCAATGTTTTTTAATATAAAATATAGACAAGATTTCAAAGACGTGGTGTGAAAAAAGGATGTATAATGGTTTGTGTTTAATTTTTATATTATTACATAGCAGAAAAGTAATGTTTTTAATATATTGGCTTAAATGAAATGTATTCTTAAAATTAATTTCACTTGTTTCTTTTCACTTTTTTACATACTAGAAAATTTTACATGACAAGTGTGGCCCACATTCAGTTTCTATTGGACAGCACCAGTCTACGCAGATGCAGCAAACCTTTCCTGACCCAGCCCCGAGTCCTCCCAGCTAAGACTCTTCCTTCACTGCAAAAGTCTGAAGACCAAGAAGTCGGCATTTTCAGTTCCTAAGCTGACAGCTCTGCCAGTTCAAACTTGGCTTACGGCCAGAAAGATGGCCTTGTTCCACATTGACTATATTTGCTATGCTTGTGAACAAGGTGCTATACTTATCTCAACACCCACCGTAAGGTTTTTCAGGATGTACTTACTTTTAATTCCATTTAACTTGGATTGGGGGAAGACAGTTTAGTTGGGGTGGGGGGAAGGGAGCAGATAGAAGGGGAATGGACAGGGATACCTTAATTATTTAAATTCACCAGGAAACAAAATGTTCTTTTAAATCATCTGATTATCTTGGACTGCTTAGATAGGTAAGACACATAACTTAAGTAAAGGTGAGTGATAGAGTGAAAGATTCCTCAAGGTAATTACTTGGATACACACAGATTCACCATGATTCACCAAATCCAACAATCACAAAATCTTTTTCTTGGTAGTATAGCTCACAAGGATCTGTGACTTTGAACATCAGATTCAACCCTTACCAGACACGCTGACCGGTCAGAGCCAGGTCACACACTAGGGTGAGTCTATTGTGAAGGGTCAAGAGACAGACAGAGGGCAAAGAAGACATTGCTTTTTCACTGACAACCCAGAAAAGCATTTCCCTTCACGCAGAAAAGAAGAGGGTATAGTCTCTTATATTTAATTAGGGATTCACAGTCTTATGTTCACAAGTTTTAAAACATTTCTGAAAACCAACAACTTTTCCAAATTGATTTGAAGGCAAAACCTGACCTGAACTGACATGAGGCTATTTGCAGTCTTTATCCCACTTAGTCTGAAGTTCATACATTAAACTGCAGACATGCTGGTATGTCTGGTTTTGAGCTACTTCCCAAGCCACCTGGGGGTGTCACAACATACGCAACATAACTGGAATAGTTTACCTTCTAATTCCAAAACGTTTGGAATTTTGAAACCCACCTAACCCCACGAACTTCAGGTAATGAACCTACTTATGGAATATCACAGCTCAGAAGGCATGGGAGTAACAGCTCTCCACCTACTTGTGTTTTCTCTTAACTCAGCCGATGTTCTAAAAGTTACTTTTCCCTCCTGTGCTCTGTCTAGTTCCTCATCCACACAATCCTGCCCTAACTCGAAGGTAGTTGAGTGGTTGATTTAGTGGTTGCCAGGTTCTGTTTCAGACACACTGTGATAATGCGCATGCTGTCTCTTTTTGATGTCAGCTAGTCATTGTTGGCAAGCCTGCATGAAATTACAGTAATTAAATTTACCTTTTCGAAACTTGCTAAAACAGAAAACGGTTATATAAGATCGTTTTAGCATAGCTACAAAAGAAAAAGAATGCCATGAGTTATGAGAAGGGAGTAAAGTGTGAAGATGTATTCTTATTAAGATTATAAATTACTTTGAGAAACTAGGCAACATTCTACTTTGTTGAGAGGGTTTGATTTTTCTCCAACTTCCTATTAAGGATTATAGTTTTCATTCACTCTCATAAAAGATTTCAAGGACAACTGAAATATAATTAGGTCTGATTTACCTTAACTAGGAATTTTTTTTTAAAAAAATCTACACTGTTTCTTTAACATCACTTCTAATTATCTGCTTTGGTGAAAGCAGTTATAGTTTCTTTCTTGGAAATATTTCCTTAGTGACTATTCATACACCATTCCAGATGGATGCTGCATATTTGTTACTGCTCACCGCCCTTTGGACCTAAATTTCATTTTGTATGATGATAGAACATGAGAAAACTAATCAAAAGAATGTATACTTTTCTTGTCTAAAAATAAGAATAAAAAAATTAAAAAAAAGAACTTTCCATCTGTCTCTCTCCCTGAGAGTGAGTTAAATATGTAACTCTATATATAGCTTATGATATGCAGTGATTATAGTCAAATATCTGTCAAATTACTATTTGTTTGCTTTGAGTACTATTGCTTTAGTATAAATTCAGAACTCTAGTATAAGCAGCCTACATAGCACACCAGGAATTGTGTACCCTTCAACCTTGTGTATAAACTCAGCTCAACACCAAGTTATTTGGGACCTCCTTTTCCCACCTGCCTGGATGGGGTCCCTGTAATCATGATTTGAAAATCCAAAAAATTACATCTTTATATAGATTGTTTATTCATTAGCATAGATTTATAACTATTTTTATGCTTTTGTCTTTTAAATTTTGTAGACTATAAAACATGAAACTATCAATGAAAAAAAAAAAAAGGAAAAAGAAAAGAAAAATGGAAATCCAGACAAGGTTACCTGTTGATCAGGGACCCTGTGCAACCTCCGGTCCCCTAAGAAAGTCAACACCTGAAGACGCTTTACTTATAGTAGGTTGTATCCCATTACTTGGCACGTTGAGATCCGCCCTTGCATTCCTTTTCTGACAGTTCCTCTGTGCACTGGCAGCGTTGTCTGGTTATCCCCCACAATACCACCTGGAGGCGGCGTCTTGCCCTGCTTCTCCCGTCTCTCTTCTGGTTCCTACTCCAGCTGAAACCCAGGCAGTCACTCCAAGGAAAGGGTCGTCAGACCATTGCCTCTCAAGACTTACACCATCTTACAACGTCAGATGTGTTTCTAGGTAATGAGCTTTTAACTGGCTCATATTTTTTTAAAAATTTTTGTCTTTTGCCATTAAACTCAATTCTTATACCTTTGTGTTCTTCTTTTGGGAATGAATTTAAATGAAAAAAATGAAAAAATGAAAGGAGGAGAGTAAAAAAGGCAAATAATAATGTCTTAAAATTATTGTGAGAATAGTTTTAACCTCACAGCGCCTTGAATCTTGAGGATCCCTAGTGATCTTCAAGAGGCAGCATTTTGAAAATTGCTCTTCGAGACTGTAGTTTCTACATCTACATAATGGGGCATTGGACTAGATAATCTTTAATATTCTCTTTACTGATTGTCTGTGATCTCTGATTTCCATTTTATCTGCCCCTTTTAGTTCACAGAACACTTTCCCACATTGACTTATTTTCTTCCCCAGTGATTTACAGTAGAGCAAATCATGTTTTATGTAGAGCACCAGGAAAGATTATGAGTGAAAAACTGATATTTAGAATCAGTCCTAAAGGCTTTCATAACCTTACCAGATGTTAATTTTTTAAAAAAGGGCTCTCTAGGCATAAGCAAACAAATACACACACACATATGTATGTAGAACCTCATCAAAATTAAAACTTTTTGTGGGTCAAAAAACACAATCAAGAATTGAACAGGAGAAAATATTTACAAATCATATATCTGATAAGAGTCTTGTATCCAGAATATATAAAGAACTCATCAACTCAATAATGAAAAGATAAATAATACAATTTTTAAAATGGACAGAGAATCTAAATAGACATTTCTCCAAAAAAAGATATACAAATGGCTAACAGCACATAAAAAGATGCTCAGCATAATTAGTCACTAGAGAAATGCAAATCAAAACCACAGTGAGCTACCACCTCACACCCACTAGGATGGCTAAAATTAAAAGGAGGTTGTGGCAAGTGCTGATGAGGCTGTGGAGGAATTGGAACCCTCACACACTGATTGCCGCTGGTGTTGTAAAATGGTGCAGCTGTGGAGACATGGTAATGCATTTGTTCAAAAAGTTAAACATGCATTACCATGTCATTCAGCAAATTGATTTCTAGGTGTATATCTAAGAGAATTAAGGACATGTTCACAAAGTAAATGTTCGTAGCACAATGTTTCAAAATAACCCAAAGTGAAAACAACCCAAATGTCCATCAACTGATAAACGGATAAACAATAGATGGTATATCCATACAGTGGAATATTATTCAGCCTTAACGGAATAATCATGGATGAGCCTTAAAAACATTATGCTAAGTGAAAAAGCCAAACACAAAAGGTCACATAGTATATGACTCTATTTATATGAAACGTCCAGAATGAACAAAGTCATACAGAGAGAAAGTAGACCAGTGGTTGCTAGGAGATGGGGAGAGGACAGAATGGCGAGTGACTGCTACCAGGTACAGAGGTTCTGTTTGGAGCAATGAAATGATCTGGGATTGTATAGTGGGGACAATTGCACAACATTGTGAAGATACCGAAAACCACTGGATATACTAAAACACCGGTTTAACATGGTGAATTTTATGTTATATGAACTATATCCCAAATAAACACTGCAAAAGCAATGGGTGTCCTCCAGAAGTTATTGTCAGCAGCTTTAGAGACAACCGTGTGACCCAAAGAACAAACAAGCTGTGACAGGAGACTGTACCGTAGATTTCTGTCGAAGAGGAATGTGTGAGGGCTCTTGCTCCCGGGCTGAGGGCGCCTCTGGGGTAAGCAGAGCTGGGCTGAGCGCTCAGGGCCCCACACTCCCAGGGCCCCGGCTGCGGTGCCCGAAGTTCGAAAATGCGGTTGTTCGAGCTGAGTGAGCTCAGTGCTGCTGAGGCACAGAACATCACAAGAAAGTGCAGATAGGTTAAGGGCTGCTCACCTTCAGGCTCTCGGCCTGAATAAGGGCAGAACTTTCATATGTTCTTCTAAAACCTGGGCAGAAATAAAACTATTAGAAAGAAGGAAACAAGAACAAAAGCAACAACACCACCGTAACCGTAAAAGCACAAGGGTTTCATATGTTATGGGAAAATAATCTGTGCAGGGAGTGCCTTTTCTTTGGTCACCTGTGGAGTTTAGGATAAGTGACCCAGTCAAACCACACTCATTTAAATTCATTTCCAAAAGAAGAACATGATAGGTTTCCATGATGTTATTATGCTAATAGCTAATGTGCACCAGTGTGTTCTCAGGCTTTATAACTTTCTCAGATTTAATTTATACTATATATCTAATATATATATATCTTACCTATCTATCTATCTTCCTACCTACCTATCTCTCACATAAACCCCAGTGTTATAATTGATTCAAGGAAAGCTGAAGAAAAACATATCTACATGGTCTCAAAGAATCATTTTACAAATTAATTACAAAGGAAAAAATGTGCCTTTTTATGGAGACTTCTGTTGGTCACCACCTTAATCAAGTTATCAAAATTAGCATCACTAATAATGCAGGATCCTCATATTAGGTACCTCCTGATACAATGCCATAAAAAACACATTACCTACATGGTATTATTAGAAACATTTAACCTAAATCTGATCATGAGGAAATAATCAGAAGAAACCCATACTATGGGACATTTTTAAAACAAACCAACAAACAAACTCACTGGAACTCTTCCAGAAAGTTAATACTATGAAAAACAAGAAAAATAAAAACTAAACCAAAGTGATACAACATAAATGAACATTGATTGAATTATGATTTTTTCAAAGGACATATATAAAAGACATTTTTTAGACATTGGAGAAATTTGAATATGGGTCAAATATTAGATGGGTTAATATTAATTTTGTTAGCTGTCTTAATGGTGTTGTAGTTGGGGAAGGGAATGTCCTATGTTGCATATTTAGGGAATAAATGTCAGAATGTCTGCAACTAACAAATGATTCAGTTAAAAAAAGTTAATTAAAAATATATAGGGAGAGAAATAAAGTATGCAGCAAAATTTTAACCCCTGGTGAATCTAGGTAAACATTATATGGGTGTTCACATTCAGAAAAATATAAAAACTTTGAAAATCTTTAGGGAGAAAAATAAAGTATGGAAACATATCACTGCTAATGAATCTAGGTGAAGATTGTGTGATGTTTATTTTATTATTCTTTTAACTTTTCTGTAGGTTTGAAATTTTGTAAATAAAAAATTAAGGGAAAAGTTAATCACTCCATAACTGAGGGATCAAGGAGTGAAATAGGTGCAAACATCTCTGGCTTATTACTTCTGTGCAGTGGCCTGACAGGTCCTTTGTAAGAAAACCAATAGGCCCGTTTAAAAGAAATAAGTCAAAAGTGCCTGTGCAAAAGAAAACATCAGCAAAATGAAAAGGGAGCCAACCATATGAGAAAATATATTCGCTAATGATACATCAGCTAGAGGTGTGATCTCCAAGATATATAAAGAACTCACTCGACTCCACTCCAAGAAGACAAATGATCCAATCAAAAAATGGGCAAAGGACCTGGGCAGACACTTTCCCAAGGAGGAGATACAGAGGGCCCAGACGCATTTGAAAGGATGCTCAGCATCACTAGCCATCAGAGAAATGCAGATCAATACCACCATGAGGTACCACCTCACACCGGTCAGAATGGCCATCATAAACAGATCAACAAACAGTAGGTGCTGGCGAGGCCGTGGAGAAAAGGGAACCCTAGTCCACTGTTGGTGGGAATGCAGACTGGTGCAGCCATTGTGGAAAGCAGTGTGGAATTTCCTCAAAAAGCTGAAAATGGAACTGCCTTTTGATCCAGT